ATACGTTCTAAATGAGTCTAATTGAACCTCTAGTGTAAATTGTGTCTAGATACATGTTTAGGCGGGAAAATAAGACAATCGATTCACCAAAAGATGACACGTGTCACTGATAAGCATGGTTTATTACATGCTTAATGTAACACCCTCCTTTCAAATACAAGGTGCCACGTAATAAAATAAAATAAAATCCAAATTCTAGCGGCTAATAAAGCCTTTTCGCAGCGGAAGTCTTACAATAATTTAATCGTAAATAAATGTCTCAAAATTAACCCATCCCATATCGGGTTACATTACACATAAATTCAGTTAAGCTAATACGAATTCTATAATTCATAACTCGAATAAAAATTTTAACTCCTACGCAGAACCCTTGTCCTTTTCCGTTCTTGAATACTCAGCTCCTGAGATGCATACTAATAGTCAGCTTTATAAAGCTCGGTGAGTTCATGGTTTTCATGCACAATCATACATTTCACACCATGCACAAATAAATAATACTCCAAATAAAATAATATGCACATTTGTTTCAAACCCTTTTGAAATAATAATGAAATCTCTTAATTTTCCCGTCGGGTTAAGGTCTTACCGTCATCGGCACTTCCCCGGGTTATACGGCTATCCCTTGTCCGGTTACCCCTCCCTAGGATGTACCATCCCTTATGACTTTTGACCCCTTCCCATACCCGACAAAATAGAATAACATGCTAATTGATGTTTTTAAAAGAAAACATGCAAACAAATAGCATGCAACCCACAATAATAAATTATATACATGTATTAAACCCATAAACATGTACATAAGAAAAATAATATTGTAATGCTCAAATAATTTGTACATAAGCATGCATCCCAATTAAAATCTCATGAAGACTCACCTGACTAATAACTTTATCGATGCTTGAACGCTTATGAAACCAAATTCTCACCCTCGATTCGCAGTCTCGTTCTTCCCCGAATTCCCGTCTTTTTTTTTTCTTTTCTTCAAGCCTTTAGAATGGCTACTATACACACCTATTTATACACCCTCTTCAATTTTTTTTTTAAAAAAATTATTATCCTTCCAAACAACCTCTTTTCCATAAATCAAGAAATTTTTTAAAATTTTAAAAAAAAACTTCCCCCGTTTTTTTTTTTTTAAATTTGAATCCAAATTCTATTTCAATTAAAATTAAATATTTTCATATTATTATTATTATTATTATTATTATTATTATTATTATTATTAATTCAATTAACTAAAACATAATAAATCTTCAATATTCCACTTATTTCAATTACCCTTATTTTAGAGTGTTACAACTCTCCCCTCCTAAAAATAGGATTTCGTCCCTGAAATCATTCATCATTGAACAGATGTGGGTACTTGGCTCTCATATCCCTCTCCGGTTCCCACGTCATCTCTGACCCCTTGTGAAATTTCCACTTTACAAGAACCAATGGAATGGTTTTGTTTCGCAACCTCTTCGTCTTTCTGTCCAAGACTTGAATTGGTTCTTCGATGTAACCCAATTTTTGATTGATCTTTACATCTCTTAATGATAGAGTTGCTGATTCGTCAGCTAAGCATTTCCTTAAATTTGACACGTGGAATGTGTCATGAATCCCTTGTAATTCTTCAGGCAACTTCAAACGATATGCCACCGCCCCAACCCTTCCTATGATCTCAAATGGTCCAACATATCTTGGACTTAGCTTTCCACATTTACCAAAACGAACTACTCCCTTCCAGGGTGATATTTTTAACATCACT